CTCTTCCGATCTGTTAGAGGCTCTTGTGTACAGTGCAGTGCACACATAGCATTTTACGTCATACTATTGCAATTTTCCATATGTTGTTCTTCGCAGATTATTTGCTTTTCCTCCACGTTTCGCTACAATTAAGTTCTGTTGTAACATTTATCGTATTTTGGGTCCGCATGCTTTACATTTGTACGCTTTTGGAGATGGTCCTTCTCGCACATTGCCATCTCAGTTGTGTGCTGTTTCGCTGATGTTACGGCTCACATTTCGCTATTTCCAGATTATTTTGCTTTTGACGGAGCGCTTCATCCATGACTCTGAAACCTGTTGTGATTGAAACGCATAAACCATCAAATGCTGAACTTTTGACGGTGATCAAGGACGCATTAGAAGCAAACTTCAAAGACGTTGAAACAGAGCTTCGCCAATGTCCAGGTACCTGATCATTTTCGTCGTTTTCTCTCACGATTCATAGTGTGTTCATACATTGCGATTCGATTGCTTGGATCGCGCGATCGGTTCGCGAAGTATGGACGCCGCTCAGTTGAAATTTTGCCGTTTAAGCGGTCCACCGCCGTACACCCAGAACACTAGTTCGATACCTATACTTTCACCTATACTTCCTGTTCGCTCAAAACGCTCGCGCGAACTTTGAACGCATATTCAGAATGCACAACCATATTGGAATAGCGGCTCCCATTTCGTTCAACCTAACTTGCACTAAAGTGGGTCTTTTCGATCCTCTCCCACTTCACTGATATCTAAATTGTACCACACAACCTTCCTGGCAGCACTATAGAGTGCATTAGTAGTTTTCACTGATTGATGATTCATTATGTTTGCTTATGACAATATAAGCCTAGACCTCGCTGCTGAACCGTACAATATGACGTCATCTGGATTTGGTCGCAAAATGGTTATAGCTGAGATTGGAGGACCTGGAAATCTTTTCCCAACTATTCATAAAGAGAAAGAATTTGATTTGAAGGTATGCGAGAACAGCTCTTCTTGATAGTCCGTTGGTCGGAGAATCCATTTCTGTCCTTCAAAATAGAATCATCCATCGTCTAGGAAATTTGTGAGAGTTGCGAAGCCACCATCGTCGTTTGTATTCGGACCTGGAGCAGGGCCTTGGAAAGTGGTTGGGAGAAACTGTGAGATGGTGGCTGACGCGAATTTCACGTCATCAAAGGTAGGTTTAGTGATTTTTCTTGTTCTCGAATCTTTCATAGATACTTCAAATGTTTTGTTGATGCAGCTTTTTGTTGAACTTGAGAAAAAATTATTCTGCTTGCTTCTGGCTCGTCGTCGAGAGTAACCGTTTGCTCCTGCCAGGATTTCCGATGACAGTGGCCCTTGTGCTAGGGTAAAATTCCATAAATGTTTCCCCTTGTGCAAGTTCGGGAGCAAAGCAAGTGGGCGGGGGCAGGGAATGCGGCCATGTCACGACCTTTTTTGCACGTCTGCACTCCTGTCAGCGTCATGTGCGCCCCGGTACCCGGGGTGTGGCCTCGCGTGCAGAAATGACGCCCTGCCGGCGGGAAATTCACCGGAACTGCAGCGAGCAACAAGTCTCGGTGATAGTCAGGGCACTCCTGTCGCTGGGGGGATTTTTACTAATTACGACCACCGAACTCCTTTCAAATTCACTCCTCTTGTACGACCCTTTCCCCCTCTCCCCTTCCGTCACCTACCTACCATCTCGCTGACTTTTACCTACTTCCTACCTTTCTAGGACCCATCCCGAAATACGGCTCCCTCACTGGTGGTTGCCAACGGCGACGAGCCCTTTGATTGTGCTCCGAGTAGAAGAAGGGTATCATTTCGTCGTGTTGGGGAGTGCCCACCCCCTCCTAACCATCCCCCTATTGGGCATATGTGTCGCACCTTTCTTTGGAGCGTTTAGGAATAAAGAGCTAATCTCTGCTCTGTTTAGGTAGCTACAAAAATCGCTTCGATCCCCCCTAACCATGCTCCTACTCCCTATAAAATGGAGGTCATCAGTTCGCCAAAATTCAGTTTGATGGCAAATCTTGCAGTATCAGCTGAACCTGGTCCTGCTGAAGTAGGTATGCTTAGAGTTTCTTTACCATCGTGGAATCCGAACGACACAGTTATCGTGTAGGTTTGATTTGAGCTCGTACAGATTTCATTTGTGTCTTTAGTCTTCGGTCTGTTTTCTGTTTTAAAACAACGGTGTTTCACTGCTAATCCAATAAGGTGGGCATTTCAGTGAATAGTGCCCAAGATTTCGGGGCCACAACGTTCTACACAGAGAATTTGATTCATCACCCTGCATTCCCCCCCCCCCTTTTTTTCCACTACATTCGGCCCATCACAGCTTCATTGCATCTTCCACCGCGAATACCGACCTAACTTACTGAACACCTTTGATACTTACAAGAATATGCATAAGGATACGTAGCGCGAGACTCTGGGTACTCTAGCTTTGGTATCAGTTTATTAGGTTTTTTAAAGCGTATTTTTCCCGAGGACGTATTCAGAGGCTTTCCCACTTCGAGTGGCGAGGGAGCTGCGGCTGTGACAAGCTTTAGCTTCTTGACCAGTAGAAAGTGCTACACCCATCTGTGGACGAGATATGTCACTTGCCCTTTATCTACAGTGCTGTTCGCTGCCAATGCAGAAACGTCCGTGGGAGACTAAGTTTAGGGCAGCGCCAGCCAGTTCACCGATTATTGAACCGGAGCGCAACAACAACTGCTGGAGAGTGGGCTGGCGCCGCACCTTATCCAGCCCCAACCCTCCCCCCTCCCTGACATGCTCTATGATCTGCAGTGATAAAAATGTTGTAAACATAGGTGTGGGGCATTGTAAACATAGGTCTAGAGTGCTACGAAACGCTTATATCGCTTTCCTTGTTCTCCTCTTCTTTCATCCTTTGTCTCTGGTCTCTCGCTCATGCAGCAATGTCAGTCTTCCTGAGACGCCCATCCATTCCGGAAGCCTCACAGCGTCGTGAGCGGTTTTATGAACTCTTTTCTTGTTGGCAACATCTGCGAGTTTGTATGTGGACCTTAAACTCACGAACTGCTATCGCGGAGTACCTTTATTGGTTGAACAGTTGTAGGGTAACTGAGTTCGCAGGGGTTCTTTCACTTGTTGCCACCAAAAAAAGAGTGGAGCATCTTGGAGAGAAAAATCTCCTTTCTTGAACTTGGCCATCCAGGTCTTGCACGTGTCGTAAGAGATAGCGTCAGCGCCATATGTATCCACTATCTTGGCTTGGGCTTCCTTTGCGTTTAGCCAGACTGATGAAGGAAAAGAAGACAGTGCCTCAGGTGCATCCTGTCGGGTTGAAACTTGGGCGGCATTTTGGAATCCAAATGCAGTGTGAGGTAGTGATGTGAAAGAGTCTCTTGCGTGCTTCATGCACACCCCACGATAAGTCATAAACATACATGCAAGGCTAATATGGTGCGATCAAACATGTGGCGGGAAACTTTCCGGTCAACCTAATAAATAATTCCAGGCCTGACGAAGGTGTTACGAACCGAAATATTGCAAGATACAATGAAAAAACTTTCGAGACTTTTGATGTCTTTAGAGTTTTTTGGAGTGAATTTTCTGGAGTTTCTCATTGTTGTTGTGTAATCAGTTCAATTCATTCAGTCTACACTATGGACTATACCCTTGGATTGTTGGAAAAAAATTATCCGTTGGAATCTTCGCGCCTTGCTCATGTTACTCGTGAAGATCTGTGGAAAATCGTGAAGAAATTCGAGCTCAACCCTGTTTCATTGCCGCATGACAGAATGAGATCGTCGATGGCTTTTGTCTACGAAAGCAATACATTCAGTGAAATACCAGCACATGCAAGGTCTTCCACCAACAGTTGTGAAGCGGTAACATTTTCTTTCTAATTTTGTTTTTTTTCGGTTCATGTTACACTTAAGCTTGCGTTCTTTCAGAATGCTGGTAAAGAAGGCGTAGTGGAAGTGGCAAACCGAGAACAGGAGGAAA